GGGGTCTGGATTGAGGCTTGGAACTTCCAAGTTTCGGGTTTGGGCGGGTTGGGGCGATGATGGTCAGGGTTTAGGGTTTAGGGTTTAGGGTTTAGGGTTGGGTTTAAGGATTTAGGGTTTAGGGTTTAGGGTTTAGGGTTTAGGGTTTAGGGGTTTAGGGTTTAGGGGTTTAGGGTTTAGGGTTTAGGGTTTAGGGTTTACTTGGAGGCCTGGGGGGACTTAGTAAGTAGGTTATATGTGGAGTTACAACTACCCTAAATGGAGTGACCCCAGTTATAACCCTACTTATAACCGACCCTCTAAGTAGGTGTGCAAAGCAAACCGGCACCCCACCCCAGGCGAGCTGCGCAGGTCGTACGCCACGACGTGAAAGCCGGCATCGTGTAAGACCTTCCGGGCTAAGGCGGGTCAGAACAAAGCAAGGTTCCCCAAAACAAAACCCTAAATCCCAGCATCTTCGATACCACAAGCTTCCGGACCCCCAACACCTGAATCCTTAAAGCCCCAAAGCCTTGAAGCCTAGACCGGTAGCCTGCAATAGAGCCTTACAGCTTAAACTCGCAAAACCGTAGCAAGGCCGGCAAGAGCCTGCCGAGAGCTAGTCAGTTCATGAAAACCCTACAAAGCGCAGGTTTCAGTCAGTCAAGCAAGGATATCTTTTGGCTGGCGGCCAGCATCCCAGAAAGCCCATGCACGTTGTACATGAAGCCCCGAGCAACTCAGATGGCAAGCTGCTGTAGGTACTGGTCAGTTCTGCCCTAAACCCCGGCCTTGTGGAGCTTCACGTAATCGATTCCTTCGACTTCGAGCAGACAGAGGACATAGTAAGTAGGTTCTAATTAGAGTTATAATTGCCCTAAATGGATTTACCCCAATTATAACTCTACTCCCCTAAACCCTATAGCTCTAAACCCTATAACCCTACACCCTAAACCCTAATCCCTACACCCTACTTGCAACCGACTTACTAAGTCGCCTGGGCCTCCAAGTTCGAGCAGACAGGGGACAGAAATGAAGCGGGAAGCCGAAAATACCGGGGGAGGGGGGGGGGGTGGGCCTTCACCTGGGGATTCCCAAAAACCGACCGCCTTAAGGGTTTAGGGTACATACGGTTGGGGTTAGGGTTTAGGGTTTAGGGCTTTAAGGCTTTAGGGCTTTAGGGCTTTAGGGTTTAGGGCTTCCGGCTTTAAGGTTTTTAAGTTTTAGGGTTTAGGGGTTTAGGGTTTGGGTTTAGGGTTTGGGTTTAGGGTTTAGGGTTTAGGGTTGAAGGTTCAGGGCCTTGGGATCCCAAAACCTACCGCTTCGAGGATTCTAGTTTCAAACTCACCTTCTATTTGTTCCAGGGTTTTGGGGGCTGTGGGCATGCCTCATAAATTAGAATAAGGGTTCTGTTTAAGGGGTTCTATATATAAGGAGGCTCGATTTTTATAGGGTACACATTTTGGAGGCCTCATTGAATTGATTGGGGTTCCTTCGACCGGCCCCTGGAAAGGCCCTAGACCCTAAAAACCCTAAACCCCTAAACTCCTAAACCCTAAACCCTAAACCCTAAACCCCTAAACCCCTAAACCCTAAACCCCTAGACCCTAAAACCCGTAAACCCTAAAACCTTAAACTTTAAGGGTCCTGGGGCTTCACCTAGAAAGCCCCAAAACCCCAAAAGCGCAACCCCCTCCGCCCGCGAAACCGGCTTCGGAATTTGGTGCAACTTTTTTTTTTGTTTTTTTTTTTT